CCATGTTTTCTTCCTGCCTTACATTCAATGACTGGGTGATGTGATGTCCCAAGTACGTACATTCTGCGCACTTCGTAAGTCTGGTCCCATCAGCAAATCTGATCACGTTGTTTCCGTTCATCGCTACATATGAACATTTACCCCTGTTGAGCAGGATTCCAAGCTGTTTTGAAATCCTTGCTATGGCCCAAAGTATTCGGGGTGTTGTTGCCAGCATACTCTGTGCTATAATTTGAAGGGTTTCTCGGATCTCCTCCATCTTCTCCGTGTACTAATGTCTCCTTGACACAATGTACTGTGTACAGAGTGTTGCTTACAACCATTATTCACCAGTCCAGCTGTTTGGGTTCCAAAGGCCCCAAACCTATGGCTCGAAATCGCACCCGGATAGGGGTTACCTCCTTCTCAGCTCCGCTACCATACGCACTTTTCCTTGTCTTGCAAAAGGGCTGCAATCAACTCACATGCATAAAGTGTGCAAGTAAACTGTTCTTTCTATGATGCTAGTAATGCTATGCTTCTGCACACTGATTCCTATGGAAAATAGTTCGCACATAATTAAGTTTGTGCATCTTAATGGAATTTGTGGCAGGACGTAGGAGACTTTTGGAGTTGGAGCCGGCAGTCTTTTCCTCCCGTTCCGCGAGACCCAACCCTCCGTTTAGCACCACTAGTTCCATGAAGAAGTACAATGGTCTTGGACACTTTTGTTGCGTCAACACCAATACCTAGCTTTCAAGTTGTGTGGCGTCTTCGTGCATGTCACAAAGGAGACCAAAAAAAGTACAAGTGGGCATGTGAGTGCCAGCTTTCAGGAAAATGCGCCTGCAAACGTCTCCAGCCCAGGAATGGGAAGCAAGCCCAGGTCTTCTTTGCGCTCCTAGACAGAGCCATCACATGTATGGGTCGATGCTTTCCCCAAAGCAGGCTAAACACTGTAGCACCCAGAGATGTCCGCAGTAATCCGGAATGAGGAACATCTGGCTATGCGCCACAATGATTCACAAGAGCTCTATATAAATTTAATTGCATGCCGCATGCCACTATCGTGCCACTATCCCTCACTACAAACAAGAACGAATTGGACATTGGCAAAACATGAAAAACTGACGAAAATTCCGCGACTCCTTTGGCAGAGCTGCAGGCGGGGTCGCCTTTAAGCTGCCATCGAGGCGGTACGCCCACCAATGGTACGGGCAAACCTCAGTCGTTTAACACTCTGAACTTTGAACTGCTGACCAACAAAATGTGCTATCCTATCAAGCAACAACTTACGTAATCATATAATGATCTGAAGAGATCCGAAGAGACAAAACAGGCTCAACTCAGAACGGGTTGAATTTAAAGTACGAGCACTAAGTCAACAAGAGCTCACAGTGCTCACCTACTCAGTCGCTTCCTTGCAGCCCTCGCACTGTGGCTCAGATCCCAACGAGCTGTTTGCATCCGGTCGTGCTAGTGGAGCAAACGCGAGCCCCTCTGTGCCGGCACCTTGACTTCAATTGGATAGAAAAAAGGCTTCAGTTTCTGTTCTCACAATTGAGGTTATCCAAGATGCAGAAACTCGGTGCTCTTTAGAAAGCACAGCTGGGACAAGCCCACAAAACCTCTTCATTGAGGCCGACTTATTACGCAGCTGAGAGAGGCACGAGTTGTAGAACGCATGAAGCTTGCGGTCTTTGTCGCATGTCAAAATGATGGATGTCTTTCCTACCTTCAGGGAAATGATTTTGTATTTCACAAACCGTTCCCTACTTACTTCGCAAGAAAGAACTCATGTGCCCACAATATGAGTTGTTTGAAGTGGCCAGAAGAAAAGGCACTCGTTGACTCACCCCACTAAGGCATCATGCAAACCTCGATGACTTTGACATCGCCAGGATTCGAGACTTCGTGCACATGTGCAGCAGCAAACCTTGGCCCGAAGAGGAATTGCTCCATGGACTCTTTGCTTCTACCAGACAAACGTTCGAGCACTTGTATTGTACTTCAACAGGGATGAAAGGGGTCATATTTCCAGTCAAAGTGATATTCCATGATGTGCCAAATCGACCCCAAGCAATAATCAGTGCAAAACGGAGTTTGAACAACTGCGCAATGGAATCTGAAGAACAAAAGTCCGATCGTTTCTCATCAAATCTCCAAGCAGCCAATTCATCCCAAAAAGCCGTTCTCTTTCGATCTGCGCCTCTGCTGTGTCTCACGAGTGTGACGAATACTCGTGAAAAACTCATCTCGACTCTCTAAGCTTCAAACGTAGGACTGATCTGTGTAGAAAGCGGGGTGTAGCACCTCGTAGCTGCGGGTATCGTGCAAGCAACAAAGCAACTATGTGTATATAATGGCCACTCCAAGATTTAGAGGCAATGTGGCAATAGCTGGCCTTTGCTTCTTCAATTCTTCGCTTTGTTGGGCGGGCTAGCTCCTGCCAGAATGAGCAAGAATATGACATTGTGGAACTGGCTGCAATGTTGCTCCACGGTGATAACATGATGCTCTTGCAACCTCTTGCACACATTCCGTTGCACAAGTGTTAAAAGGTATTGATAGCATCTTCTGCTTGGCTGACATAGCATGTAAACGTATACTGGGTACAAGAAAAAAAAATCAAGCTGGAGCCAGCAGGGGTTCTTTAGCTGAAAAGCAGACTCATTATCAGAAAAGCATAACACAGTCACAAGCCTATGGTAACATGCCCTTGCAGGACAACTCTAAGCTGAGAAAAAGCATGCTAATGAAATCAGGCCGGGTTTCATTAGTGCCCTCCTCCAATTTCTCAGACAGCACTGGGAGCTCCATTCCTACCAGCGGCAGGGTGCTTCGTTCAGACTTTTTCCCACTGTACTTCGAATCTCGGTTTGTTTTACATTTCAAATACTCTGATCTACTTTGTTGTGCGAGATACCGGCACAAACTGTGTCCTGGAATCGTCGAAAATGCCCTAGGCATTCGACTCCATAAACACCGCCTGTCTAACAACCAAAGAGAACATTCTCTCTCGAACAAAAATGCGCCTGTCGCATCCAAAATGTGTTGCAAATACTTGGTGTATCTTGGTGTTAACTTTTGCGTGTCGAAAAAGTGGCCTCTGCAACTGGAACATTGCCTCATTGTTGATGGTTGCCAAAAGGGCAGTCCAATCGCTTTTACGTCTGAGCCAGGGGCATGTCTTGCAAGATTCATCGCCACCGCAAAATGTCCTGCGTTGAAGGTGCAAGGCCAAGGTCTCCAACATCTTTCAAAGGTCCTGAATGCTTGAGCAGCCACAGGCGGAAGAAAAGGGCGGGGGTTGCTATAGTGCGAGCCAAAAGGACAACAAGAGCCAGATCTGCCTGGACCGGCACTCAAAATGTGCAAAGAGGACCACATGCTTAAATTGCTCTGGCAATGCTGGTGCTCGGAAGTTTTGTCTATCGCCGACATCCAATGTCGAGTGCGGGTGAGATCTGAAGCAAGGCACGCACGAAGGCCATCTCCATCTTTTGCATCATTGAACTCCACACGCCTGCTTCAAAGCCTGCAAACCTTTGGCATTGCCATTGCAATATTGCAAAACTGCTGTACGCCCTCTGGTTCACGCATCCACTATATACACTCCATCCATGCTTTGTGTCTTTTGGACATGTTTTCTTTAAGGGCCATTCATTGGCAGGATCTGCCTGTAATTTTTATGATTAAAGTTTGGTCAAGCAATAGAAACATAGTCAGACAAATTAAGCATGTCACCCACTGTGTCAAGCAACCAATTGCCAACTCTCCTACTGCAAACATGCCACTTCTCAAGTTCAGCACGCTTTGGCGGTTGCCCACCGAGTCGCCGGAGCGCCCATGTTTTCGGATTTGTGCATTTCCCCAATAAAAGTTCTTAATTCTTGGGTGGCATTGTATAGCACCTTAATTTTTGATCTCCCACCCTTAAGCCGTGAAAACAATGCCTCTACATCACATTTGATGCAAGCCTGGCTTGCATCACTAACGTGCGTGGTTGACATGACAGTACTTGTTTCTACGCTCGCATGGTTCAAGCCCCCCGGCACAATTCCAGAACTGTGATATCCATGATATCCTTAGTTACCAGTGTGGGCAAAAACATTCACCGCACAAATCATGTTCAATAGCCCTTACAGGAATTGATAATTTATATATATATATATACGCACTTTTCCTTGTCTTCCAAAAGCGCTGCAATCAGCTTGCATGCGCAAAGTGTACAAGTAAATTGTTCTTTCTATGATGCTAGTAACGCTATGCTTCGGCACACGGATTCCTCTGGAAAAAGGTTCGCACTCCTTCTTGGCGATGTGAGACTCTAAAATGCATCTTTGAGCTCACGTTGCCACCGTGGCCATCTTTTTGCTTTAATTCTTGTCTCTCTCTCTCTCTTTCTGCAGGTTTGTTATAATATCTTCCCACTACAGGAACTGGGTTCTTGAAGCGTGCTTCTGTTGGTTCAACATCTGGGTTGTCCTTTCTGTATTCTGCTATTCCAAACGTTCCTTCATATTATCCTGGTTCTCGTTCACATCTATCTGCAAAATCCTGGTTTCCTAGTCCTAGTAGGTTCCACTCTTCTTTCATGTCCTCACAATTCTGGCGTGGAGCCTTGCATCTTTTATATACTCTGGTCCCATTGATTCCTCTCTGTTTTCTTTTGTGAATGCTTCGTTCAAGAGTCCTTCTGATGGATTTGCTCCTTCATGGTGTCCTTCATACCATCCTTCTGTGGCTTGCATAACTTCAAAACTCCTTCTGGCTAGGTAGTTTCCTGCATTGATCTCACTCAGGATATTGTAGCTAAGAATAGCCTGTCGACTCGGTGCTTCTCTCTCTACAAAGCCTAATTTCATAATCAATCCACCGTGAATCCTCCTTACATAGTCTTGAAGTGTTCGCGACTTTTCTTCAACTTTTTTCTCTCCAATTTCCAACTCTCACTTCAACATCATCAGATCGCTTGTCATTTCTCTTGGCGATCGTCTCATAGAACCCTGTCATGAAGCTGTTTGTATGAGCAAAATCTGCATGTAGCGCTTCAAAAGTGTTTGTACGATTACTGCTGCAAAACCAATTCTGTTGAACACAGTGATCATGACAATCCAGAATTTCCATTCTTCATTGGATTTCTTCACTGTGTCCAACCCATACTGGATATTGCATTTTTCAAAGAATGCTTCTGTAACCGTGGGCTGCAAGCCCTCCAATGCTACCATTCTCACAAGCATCTTTGCAATCTCAGTGACCTTTTCTGCAAACATTCTTCTTCTCATCAGACACCCTTCTCTCATACAGTCCTATTCTGATTCAGTCTTCACTGTGCCAGAAACCAATGAAACTCATCAAATTTCTGACCCTTTGTCCTCCAAGTGGCTTTGTGTTGAGGTCTGCCATGTTGCTATCTGTTGGTACTTGTACAATCTTGAAATCTTTCCTCTTCTGAGTCCACAGCTGTTTTCCATCAAAATGTCTCACGTTTCCAACTCCTCTCTTTGTCACAAGTTGGGGCGCGCTTGATGAATCTGTGAAGATGTAGTGGCCCACCTTTGTCCCAAGAGCAAAATCCAGAACTGCTCTGACATAGGTTCCACCTGATGCTGAGGAAGCTATTGCGTGTAGCTCTGCTTCACATGAAGATAAGCTAATGATCTTTTGCGCTGCTACTGTTGAACTTCATCTCATGGAATCCTCCTGATTTTGACTTTCTGTGGCTTTTGTTTCCACTGCTGCAGTCTGAATCTGGGAATGTCTCCAAGCACCAATACCTTTCTCCTTTCTTGACATAGCCTTCTCCTGCTTGTGGAAGTTCAAGCGCTAGACAACAGTCCAGAGTCTTCTTTAAGTATCCTAAGTGATGAAGCGACATAGCTGTAGGGCTTGGCGTTCTTGAAGCACATTCCTTCACTGTAAATGCTACATCATACCTCTCTTGGCACAGGTAGATACCTGATCTTCTCCTGCTCACGTAGTACTGACTTGTCTTCCATCTGGATTGAGTTGTCTGCTGGTAGTTGCTGGAGCTCGACAGGCCCAATCTGCTCTTGATAGGCTTTCAACACCTGCTGGGCGCAGCTGCCTGGTTGGATCCATAGTCCATCAACTTCCAATATGTGTCCTCAAACATCAATCCAAAAGGCAAATACAAGCAGCATCAAGGCAGCAGCCTACACCTCTTTTCCCTGAGGTGTTCGCCTGGTGTGCACTGGGCGGCATTCGAAAAACTGCCTGTGAGAACCTGTAAAGCAGACTGACACCGGGCGTCCAGTCTAGGACCCATGGGTGTCATGGTCTAGTTTGGTCGAGCTCCTCCCTATCAGTGCATGAAGCAACTGAGGAGGAGCTTAAAAGGGAGAAATCCCGGGGCCTCAGTAGTGGTAGATCTCCTTGAGGGCCCAGTTCATGAGGGTAAACTCCGAGAGGATGTTTTTCGCATCCAGGTGAAACTCCGGGTGGACCCTGGAGTTCGTCAGCCCATTGGTTGAGGTCTCGCTTCACGTGGCTGGGGGCAAGCTGCGCCCCCCCTTTCTGAAGCGTAAGGAGCAGCTGCATCAAAATAGCTGAAGTGGGGGGCATCTGCCGCGTCTTGTTGTTCAGCATACAGAAGACATTTTCTTGGTTGTCAGTGATGACCGGGATCTTGATGGCCAGCTGGCGGCGTTCCCCCATCTTCAAGATGAAGGAGATGAGAATGAGGGATCCCAGTAGCTCAAGCGCTGGTATCATAGCGCTGGCTGTCTTGGTGTTGAACAGTTTTTTTCCACGAGCGCGGGCGCCATGTGGGCGGTGTGCCCAGGTCATCGTAGAAGGATAGGAAACACTGCATATGGAAGGGGGAGAAAGACCAAAGGAGAACAGGAAACAGCAAACAAAAACCCCAACCAACCCCCAAACACAAAACCAAACCAACAACACCACACAGACCCCCATCCAATGTAGGCAGTGTTTCCTCTGTACTAAGGTGAAAACGGTGAAAATCGACCAACTGCATGAGATCTACGGGCCTGAATTCACTACGAAAAGCGACATATTTCTGAACGCAGGTGAATGCTCAGTTCGGCCAATCAAAGGTGGCCTCGCATCGTTGGCAAGGATGAGGCCATCCAAGCCGTTCGTAGGTGGGCACTCGGAACCTTGTGGCATCAAACGAGGTAACGAGGGCAAAGTCAGCCGTAGGCAGATGACAAATGCCAAAGAGTCATCAGTTGCGAAGCATGGCAAGCCGTGGAAAATTCCCTCTCCGTGGCACAATCCATCCGACTGAAAGATAGAGGCTAATCACGAATGTGGCAGTGGAAAGCATCGCAAAGAAAGGGCTGCAAACAACGTGCTGATTTCCCTCCCGCGAGGGAGGCACAACATCCACCCGCTGTCTCCCTCTCGATAGCTTGGCTGTCTTGGTGTTGAACAGCCAGGGAAAGGTCGTCTCTTCCAATTTGAGGTGCATGGAACCAATTAAAATGCTGATCGTTTGGATGGGGTTGGATCAGAGGAGAGACAACCACCAATGCAGTACTCCGAAGCGCTCGCATCACTCGCCCCGTGCCAGGGTGACTAGGGCGCAAAGGGTGTTGGTTGAGTGTATGGTTCTTGGAAAAGTAGTCGCAACATCTTGGCAAAGACTCGGATCAAATGATTAGGTCTGCCCGATGACTTGACTGCTCCTTTCCATTGCCAAAGCGGTTGAAGAAGCGGTTTGGTTAAGGGGCAAGCACTTGTTGCCCATTGGAGCCTGCCCATGCCCTTTTCAAGGTCCTTAAGGGCGAATACTCCCCTGCTGCTGGTTTATCCAGCGGTTGCAGGACCAAGGTGTGTTTCTCCTTCGCCATCTGGACAATGGGTCCAGAAGGGTCAATCACGAAGCCAAGCCATGTGTTCGTGTGGGAGAGGGCAGTCTTCTTCCAGCTCAAGGGGGTCCCTACAAAGAGCAGCACCACTAACAAGGCGGTCGAGTGGAGCGACCCCTAGCCCGGAGTAGCCATGCAGCCAATCCCCAATCGATTTTTTCCGTGAACACTGCCCAGATGATCCAAGGAGGAGGGCTGCCATGCGCCCCAGTAAAGCTGGGCACTTGCCATCCCATACGTGCCCACCTTGTTGACCCACCATTCGTCACCAATTTGGGCTGGTACCTCCGATCCTGGGGGTGGATCTTGATGCGCCTATGGGCTTTGGCGACGTCCGCTTTGAGGATGCGCCATTCAGTGCCCGGCTCCAGCCAGGGGGCGGAGGGAATGGGTCCGTCTCCACGTCCACTTGGGTAGTACGGGTTACTCTGCGCTTCCTTGGTGGAAATGAATGGGTTCGGTCCCACGTCA